CCGGCGCCTGGTGATCCCAGCCTACTCGGAGGCTGAGGCGGGAGAATGCGGGAACCCGGGAGCGGAGCTTGCAGTGAGCCGAGATCGCGCCACCGCACTCCAGCCTGGGCGACACAGCGAGACTCCGTCTCAAAAAAAAAAAAAAAAAAAAAAAAAAAGTCAGTGTTTCAAATTTTAAATTGAAAAATTGTGCCAGGCGCGGTGGCTTATGCCTGTAATCCCAGCACTTTGGGAGGCTGAGGGCGGACGGATCACGAGGTCAGGAGATCGAGACAATCCTGGCTAACATGATGAAACCCCGTCTCGACTAAAAACACAAAAAATTAGCCAGGCATGGTGGTGGGCACCTGTAGTCCCAGCTACTCAGGAGGCTGAGGCAGGAGAATGGTGTGAAACCGGGAGGCAGAGGTTGCGGTAGCCGAGATTGGGCCACTGCACCAGTCCACCACCAGAGCCTGGGCGACAGAGCGAGACTCCATCTCAAAAAAAAAAAAAAAAGAAAAAGAAAATTTTTGATGAGAAAAAGGATAAGATGGCAGCCAGCCCCATCTACTGCATGAAATGGCTTCAGGAAAGTCACTTGCTAACTTTCTGGCATCATCTTAACCCTAGAATTGTCTCTCTGTCATGAAAGCTACTGTCTCCTTTCCTTTCCTGGACAACTGAACCTTTTCCTACCCACACTCCCTAATTTTCCTCCCCAAATTATCTCTAACTCAGCTAAACTATTCCCTTGTTTGGGGGCACTTAAGTCACCAAGAGAGCCAGGCCATGGGAGGTAATTCATCAGCTAGAGCTGCCCGCAAGCACATTGGCTGTGCACTGTACTAGTAAATTACTGAATTTGAAGATTTATATTCTATAAAAGTTATTCATGTCCCATTCTATCATCTGTACAAATCAGCACTTTACAGACTGATAAAGATGATATAGCCACTAACGAATCCTACTGAATCCTCTATCTGCAGGTACTGCATTCAGAACTATAAAACCAGGATGCAAAGACATTGTCCTTGTCCACAAAGGCTCCTGTATTAGTCCATTATCACACTGCTATAAAGAACTGCCTGAGACTTGGTAATTTGTAAAGGAAGAGGTTTAATTGTCTCACAGTTCCTCACGGCTGGGGAGGCCTCGGGAAACTTACAATCGTGACAGACAGGGAAGCAAACACATCCTCTTCATATGATGGCAGGAAGGAGAAGAGTCGAGCAAAGAGGGAAAAGCCCCTTATGAAACCACCAGATCTTGTGAGAACTCACTCACTATCATGAGAACAGCAGCACGGAGGTAATGGGAATGTGGGGATTATGGGAACTACAATTCAAGATGAGACTCGGGCAGGGACACAGCCAAGCCATATCAGCTCCTTTTCTAATCCAGATACAGATAATTAGCCAAGAACACAATAAGCTAATTTCGCTAAAGAAGAAATAAAAAAAAAAAATCAAAGGTGTGTCAGTAGGTGAATTTTGGAGAACTGAGGCCCAAATTCACGCAAGCAAGAGACAAGGCCATTTATTAGGTGTTGCTCTCACACCAGCCCTGACAGGTTGCATCGTTTTTATTCCCTTGAACAGACAAGAGAAGTGGCAACCAGAGTTGTTGATGGTATAGTCGGCCCTCCATAGCCATGGTTTCGGCATCCGTGGATTCAATGTGAATGGAAAATATTCGAGAGAAAAATTGCAACTTGGGAGGCTGAGGCAGGAAGATAACTAGAGCCCAGGAGTTTGAAGCTGCAGTGAGCTATGCACCACAGCACTCTAGCCTAGGCAACACAGTGAAACCTTGTCTTAAGAAAAAAAAAAATTTTTATCTGTACTGTAAACATACAGACTTTTTTTTTCTTGTCATTATTCCCTAAACGGTACAACTATTAACATATCATTTACATTGTATTAGGTATTATAAGTCATCCAGAGATGATTTAAAGTATACATGAAGTTGTGCATAGGTTATATGCAAACCCTCCATTATCTTGTATCAGGGACTTGAGCATCCATGGATTTGGGTGGCTCCTGGCCCCAGTCCCTCAGGATACCGAGGGATGATTGTAATTCATCAACAGAAACTGGCCCTAGGTCACAAAACCGGTAAGGGACAGGACCATAATCCAAACCCAGATATCTTCAATGTTAAAGCCCATCTTTTTATTTTAAGTTTTAATTTTTTCCTAAGTGGCACATGTACATAATTAGATGGTTGGCACACACATGCACATGTGTGCATATGTCATGGGGTGTTCAGTTGACCAGCTGGCCTGGTTTGCCTGGAACTAGTGGATTTTCTGGGACATGCAGTTTTTAGTGCTACAACTGGTAAAATTAAACTTGAAAAGTCCCAGGCAAATCAGTCTTTTTGACCAATTTGATGAGTTGGTCACTCTAGCTTGGCCTTCCTTTTCCAGGAGGTATTTGAAAATATGTGAGGTCAGTTTTTTTCCCTCCCTCCCTTCTCATTCTCTTTCTTTTGGTATTGTTACAAAGTCTGGGGTAGGCGGTTGGGGTTAGACATTACTGGTATTTTGGGAAGTGGGTGGGCAAAGACTGCTAAATATTTTGCAGTTTGCACTGGGCGGGATGGTCCCACCCAATGAAAAGCATATAAAAAAAATTTTTTTTTACGTCTTCCTGATTTAGCCTTTTGTCAGCTTTACAACCCATATTGTTTTGTTCAGAAATCTGACAGCCATCTCTTTGAAATGTAAACACCTAGGAAAATAATGTCTCTATGTCCCATTTACTGTGGAAGTTTAACCTCTGAGCACCTTTCTGTCTCCATCTTAATCTGCTTGTCACAGAGATAAGACAAATTTATTATTCCTTTTTTTTTTTTTTTTTTTTTTGAGACAGCGTCTTGCTCTGTCACCCAGGCTGGAGTGCCGTGGCACAATCACAGCTCACTGCAGCCTCGAGCTCCTGGGCTCAAGTGATCCTCCCATCTCAGTCTCCTGAGTAGCTGGGACCACAAGTATGTGCCACCACGCCTTGGTAACTTTAAATTTTTTTTTTAGATATGAGGTCTCACCATGTTGCCATGCCATTATTATTCCTTTTGATAAAGGTGAATTTAGGCTAAACTATGAAAGAATGTACAGCAAATGGCTCTGTTAAGTCTTCTCATAGGAGGACAGGTTACTGTTAATAGAGAACATATGTATGTAATGGCTAAAAATAGAGCAGTAGAAAAGGATTGTAACTCCTCACCTCTTTTGAGAATGAAAAAAGGATTTTAACTTCTTGGCTGCCTAAGTAGGGTGGAATTTCTTTCTGCATGTAAAATCTCTTTGCAGATGATCAAGCTTTGTTCATGGTATGCTGGCTTATGCTTATTCAATAATAAAACTGCTTTCTTTCGTTTTGATGTTTTGTAGAGATTTTAAATTTCCCAAAAATACAAAAAGAAAAGAATATTTGGTTAAAGATCACTAAACTCTGGGCTGACAGTCAGCTGGGTGTGTAGGGGACTGGTATCTCAGTGTAAGTCTTAATCACATTAAAGTTATTGTTTGTTTTTAAGTACAAGATTTTTCTATTAGGATGCCAGAGGTTTCTTCCTACAGACTGTGAATTACATCACAAAAAATAGTTTGGTCTCAGATCAGATATTATGCAAACACTGTTTACAGCTGAGTTGTATAATCATCCGAGATTACTTTACTTTCTTGAATAATAATGGAGTTAATAATTATCCATTGCTTGCTGCCTTAGTTCTGTCTGTACTTATCACTAGTTCAACTCTAAATTTCCTCTTAATTGGTAATTCATATCAGAGAGTCTATCAATTATTTTTCATGAAGAACTCTTTCCTGGAAACTTCTGACCTGCTCCTGTCTCAGGTAAGTCAGAAAGCTCTACAAATATCCTGGGATCCCCTGTCCCATATTCCTTTGTAGCTGTCCTGTGTTGCACCTTTCATTTTTTACATCCTTTCTCAGCTTACTCCTTTGTTTTGATGGAGCACATCCTCTAGCAGCTTTCTGATAAAAGTGAATAGGAGATAAGTTTTTTGAGACTTTCCATGTCCAAAATATCTTTCTTTCTATTCTCACATGAATTAGCAAATTTGTCCTGGAACAGAATTCTAGTTTGGAAATAATTTTCCTTTGGAGTTTTTAAAGCATTGCTCTGTTGGTCTTTGGGCTTTTAGGGTTACTCTTGAGAAGCCTGAAATCATTTTGGTTTTAATCCTCTCTCTATATTTCTCTTCCTTCTCTTTAGAACAGTGGTGTCCAATCTTTTGCCTTCCCTGGACACACTGGAGGAAGAATTGTGTTGGGCCACACATAAACTACCCTAACACTAATGATAGCTGATAAGCTAAAAAAAAAAAAAATCTCATAATGTTTTAAGAAAGTTAAAACCACTGCCGGGCGCAGTGGCTCACACCTGTAATCCCAGGGCTTTGGGAGGCCGAGATGGATGGATAACCTGAGGCTGGGAGTTCAAGATCAGCCTGACCAACATGGAGAAACCCTGTCTCTACTAAAAATGCTTGGGAGGCTGAGGCAGGATAATTGCTTGAACCCAGAAAGCGGAGGT